ATTTGAAGGGGCCCCACATTTCCTGGTGCCTTCTTCATCCTCCCTATATATTTGAAAAAGGACTTTTTATTATCTTTGATCTTGGACGCTAGTCCTAGCTCTATGTCTGCCTTAGCTTTCCTAACAGCCCCCTACAGGCCCAAGCAGTGGAGGTATACTCCTCTTTGGAGATCGTGCCCCCTTCCACCGGGTGTGTGCCTCCTTTTTGGCAACCAGACATTCCCGGATGTCCTTGGTGAGTCAGGGAGGCTTTTGGGCACTCTTGCCCCCCCTTGCTTCTTGTTGGGATCATCTCCTCTTGGGCCCTCAGTATCGTCTCCTTAAGGAACGACCACTCATCTTGGGCACTGAGTTCCCCTGCCCTCGAGAACCCCAGTGTCTCTCTGACCAATCTCCTCAACTCATTGAAGCTGGCCCTCTTGAAGTCTAGGGCTACCGCCTTGCTGCAGGCCCTTGTCACTCTGCGCTGGATGATGAATTCCAGCAAGCAATGATAGCTATCACCCAGGTGGTCAAGGACCTGGAGCCCCCTTACCAGATCATCGCCTGTGGCCAGGACTAGGTCCAACAGGGCATTTCCTCTGGTGGGACTGTGCACCTTCTGGCTTAAGTGGAGGTCCTGTATCCTGGCCAGGAACCTCCTGGAACGGTCCAACCTGGCTGACTGCTCCTCCCAGCAGATGTCAGGGTCATTTAGATCACCCATGACAACTGCATCCCTCACCTTAAGTGCCTCTGCAAGCTGGCCCAAAAATTCCCAGTCCAGCTCCTCCCCTTGGTTGGGGGGTCTGTTGTAGACCCCCACCGTTAAATCCCTCTCCCCACGACCCCGTTGTATCTTCACCCAGAGCACTTCAGCTTGTCCCTCCTCTGACCCCATTTTGCTGGCAGAGGATGTGAATTGCTCTTTGACATAGAGCGCCACACCCGTCCCTTCTTTCCTTCTTTATCCCGCCTGTAGAGCCTATAGCCCCTAATGCTAACTGTCCAGTCATGGGATGAATCCTACCACATTTCTGTAATCCCTACTATGTCTGGGTTTGAACTGGCTATTCTGAGGGTGAGTTCCTCCTGTTTATTCCCCATACTCCGAGCATTGGTATACAGGCATTTAATGCCTTGCGTAGCTGCGTGTGCCACCCCCCAATTAGGAAGACTATCTGCACCCCCCGTATTAGGAAGACTATCTGGACTATTATATCTATATAATATAAATACCTATATAAAAATATGGATAAGTATATCTATATCTCTATATAAATACATCTATATAAAAATATAGATATATCAATATAATCTATATCTATCTCTATATATAAATATAAAAATAGATATATTATATATACATATACACACATAAACACAAACATATATACAGTCATTCACATTTTTAATATATATATATATATAAATAAATAAAAAATGTGTGGGTGTGTCTGTATATATGTGTGTGTATGTGTGTGTGTGTGTGTGTATATATATATATACTTACACATCATACACATACATATATACATACAATCATATATACATATAGAGAGAATATATTTTGTGTGAGTTTGTATACATATATGTATGTAGAGTGTGCTTTCCTCTCCCCGCTGTACATATGGATGCCTTCCCAATTATGATCCATGTCCTGTATGATGCCTCCTTAGTGTTTTCTGTGTCTTCCCCTACTACTGTCCATGGAAAGGATGGAGCCCTGTTATTTTCCCAGTGGAGTTGAGCTGCTCTCTCCAGTAGCAGCGAAGTCATCCTGGTTCCCTTCACTAGAACATCTTTTACTGATTCCTTATTTGTGGTGCCATTTTCACCTGTGTAGTCCTCTGTGAAATGAGAAGTGTCTCCTCAGGTAGCAGCAGAGATATTTTTTTGCATGGTTAAAAATGGTGCTACAAGGTCCCAAACTGTAAAGGTACAGAGCTACTAATGACAAAGCTCTATCACATGATCAGAGCACCAGGCTTTTTTTAATGACACCTCCTGATGACTGCCTGCCTACGTAGCTGATGCAAACCTCACATTTGAAAACAGTCATTGTAAATATTGCAGAATGGGATGTGCATGCTGAATTACTACGTCAGCAGCCAGGGGTGGAGAATAAAGCTCCAACTCTTTATAGCCCTTTATGCTGGGCTTGCTTTATCAACAGAGCAAGAGCAAACAAGTCAGAAGCCCTGTGCAGCAATCCTTCAACATGTTGACTACCTTTACACAGCAGGGAGATGAAAGCACAAATTATTCCTTTTGTTTCCCCTTGTATCATTCCCTGAGCACAGTCAGACCCTATCCCAGTGTAAGTGTGATCCCTAGGACCTACTGTCTGGGTCAGAAATCTCACCCAGGCTGCTGGTTTTCTTCCATGCTCTGGGGAAAAGCTGATGTTTCCTCAACAGTGAACTCCCTTGGATTAATTATTCAAACAGGGTAGTTATTAGAAATCAGAGAGCTTCATTTATTTTTCAGGCACCAATGGGATTGCACTAACATCACCTACCTGCTCATTGATCACCTTCTGCATGATGAGACAAAGATGGATGAGAAGCTGCTGAAGACCATTGTGAAGCAGTCTGTCTTCCTCTGGAAGGTAAGTTTTCAACATGGTCCCTAGCTGGTGGTTCAGACCCTAGTGGAATTACACAGTGCGCTAGTGCAGCCCTTTAGCCCCCACCAAGTTTTGGAGGAATCCAGCCCTTTGATTCACTCAATCCTATCCTGTTCCCTCCATGTGCTCTGTGGCTTTGAAAGGGTTGAAGAGGGGAGATGGGAGCTCGGCCATGCTGCAGAGGCCCTGTACAGCTCCTGCAGTCTCAACTCCCCAGCCCCTGGAGAGTCATAGATGTAGCAGGACTTGTCTCTAAGGGTGGCTATGGCACCCCTTAATGGCCACCCTGATCCTGCTCCCACTCTAGCTCCTCAGTGCACCACTTCACTATATTGTCTTCCATGCTTTGTTGTATATACAATGGAGATTGCCTCCAAGTCCTGGAGTGCTCCTGGATTCCCCTAACTGACAGAGCTGGATGCTTGGTCCATTCATCTCTCTCCAGACTAGCAGTCTGTTACCACCACAGTTCTGCACCCTGATAGCACCTGTCCTTCCCTGCAGGCAACCCTCCAGGCTATAGGGCAGTACATTCCCTTTGGGGTATTCATTGTGACCTCCAATTGTCCCTATAGGCATGCCCATGTGTCACTCAGTCCACCTTTGTTGGACCCTCTGGTCTTGTATCAGCTCCCCGTCACTTGGGTCTCTGTCCCCTCTTTGGCAGCTTCAGCCAGCTGGGCCTCCTTGGCCCTTCCTTTTCTTCAATGGGTCCCCTGCCCCTATCCACTCTGACTCTGGTCCTGATCCTCTTTACAAGGTAGTGATCTTGCTGCCCCTGAACAACTTGGCTGTGGTCTATGCAACCCCCAGGCTACCAGACCCTACCATGGTTTTACCCTGACCTCAGCCCCTGCTAATGGGGAGTGCCACCGAGGCACCTCTACCATGGCCTCCACCTCCCCAGTAGCCATAATTCATTCCTCCAGTTTTTAATGGCCCATGGTAGTTAAACCTTAAGCCATTCTCAATTGCTGCTGGGTGCCTCACTCCAAGCTCTCCCCAGACTTCTTTGCTACTCGGCTGGCTTTTCCCCAGCTCTGGCCTTCCTGGACCTATTCATGGTTCCCACTGCCTTTTAGCTCAGGCCAGGCGCTCTTCCTCCTAGCAAACCCTGGGCCAGGAACATTGGCCTAGGGCTGAGCCAATATGTTCCTGGGCCCAATGCCTTCTGGTCACATGTCCTTGACCCTTCCCAACTATAGCCCATCCACTCAAGGAGCAGCCAGGAGGTCCCAAGTTGCTGTGGGCAGCCCTTCTCTGGGCTTCTTCCTGTCTGGTTACTCAAAAGCAGCTGACTCTTGCTCAGCTGGCTTCAGCAGAACATGGCTCAAACCCACTGCTTTCCTCCCTTAATGTAATAGGAGCCTTGGTCTCCCATTATAATGGAATCATAGAGAAGTAGGCTCAGAAGGGACCTATAGAGGCCATACAGTCCAATGCCTGAAGCAGGATCATCCCCGTCCCATCATCACATACAAATCCATTGTCTAACCTCTTAATAAAACTACACGGTCAACCCTGACACAACACAGGAGATAACACCCTAACCTGCCACAGGTGAAACAGGGGAACCATCACAGCCAATGCCCTGTTTCTGTAAAATGTTGTCAATAAATGCTCAAGAGATCCCAGGTACAGGCTCATGCCCCAACTACAGAGGAAGGCAAAAAACTCCACAGTCTCTACCAATCTGACCATGCAGTAATATTCTTCCTGACACCAAATATGGTGATCAGTTGAACCCTGAGCAGATGGACAAGATTCTTCAGCCAGAAAAGTTTGACTTTAAGTCCCAGCACAAGCATTGGCCCAGCCTAATCAAAATTACCAGCTCCAAAACCCAATGCCTCTGAGGAAGTCTTAAAAATACCCTGACACAGGTAGCCAAATGGGGGGCGGAGAGAAACAAGGAGCAAAGCCAAGAAGCATGGGAAATACCCATAGTAGAATACAAGTATAGCTATGACTAGATCATGCCTGACCAGTGGCTGTCCAGCCTCTTCTTGAATGGAGAGTCCACAAGTTCCGTGGCTTCTAACAGTGAAGTTTTCCTGATAGCCACCTAAAACTATTTTTCTGCAACTTCAAGCCATTGGTCAGTGTCCTCCCCTCTGCAGAAAGAAAGAAAAGGAGTTCTCCCTCTTCTTTATGGCAGCCCTTCAAGTCTTTGAAGATTGCTATCATGTCCTTTCTTAAGCACCTTCTCTACAAGCAAAAACTTACCTAGCTCCTTCAGCCTCTTGTTGTATGACTTCTTTTCCAAGTCCTCGATCATCTTTGTAGCCTGCCACTGGACTCACTCTACCTTCTCCACATCTTTTAAAAAACTGTGGAGCCCAAAACTACCCACAGTACTCCAGATTAGGCCAATCCAATTCCATGTAGAGAGTCGCTATCGCCCCCTGTGTCCAGTACCTAATGCTTCTATTGCTGCATCCCAAAACTGAATTCCCCTTTTGTGTAGCTGCATCACACTGAAGACTCATGTTGAGTCTATGATCTAACAAAAGTCTCATATTTCATAGACATTAGGGACCAGAAGAGACCTTGTGAGATCATCGAGTTGAGCCCTCACTGCCATAGGCAAGAAGTCAGATGGGATCAAGTGACCCCACCAAGAAAAACATCCACCTGATTATTGAAAGAGTCCAGAGAAGGTGTTTGCACCACCTCGGGGGGGGGAGTCTGTTCCAGACCCTGGACACTTGCACCGTAAAGAACTTGTTTCTTATATTCAGTCTAAATTGGCCTTCCTGGAGTTTATGGCCATTATACCTTGTTACTCCTTGGGGAGCTCTGGTGAACAGATGTTCTCCCAGGTCTTGATGTACCCCTCTAACCTAATTGTGGCTGCTACCAAGTCCCCACTGAGTCTCCTCTTTTCCAGACCAAAGAGTCCCAAGTCCCTCAGCCTCTCCTCATATGGCCTGCCCTCCAGGCCTTGGATCATGACTTTCTCAAGCTTTTCCACATCCTTCCTGAAGTGGGGGGCCCAAAACTGGATGCAGTACTCCAGCTGCAGTCTCACCAGGGCCAAGTAAAGCATGAGGATGACTTCCCTGGTTTTCCTTGAGATGCATCAATAGATGCATGCCAGAGTTTGGTTAGCTTTGCCAGCCACAGCATTGCTTGATCTTGTGGTCAATCAAGATCCCCAAGTCCATTTCAGTCATGGTGCTAGTGAGCGTAGCACTGCCAAGCCTGTAAATATGCTGAGGGTTCTTCCTATTGAGGTGCAGCACCTTGCACTTCTCTACATTGAAGGCCATCAGGTTTTGGTCAGCCCACCTTGAGAGTGTGTCCAAGTCAGCCTGTATCCCCAGCCTGTCCTGCGATGTGACCACCCTCCCCCATAATTTGGCATCATCCACGAACATTGCCAATTTGCATCTGACTCCTGAATCTAGATAATTAAGGAAGATGTTAAAGAGTACCAGCCCAAGAACCGAACTCTGAAGGACTCCACTGCTCACCCTGCATCACGTTGATTTGGTCCCATCAACTAGTACTCTTTGGGTCTGACCCTGTAGCTAGTTACCTAGCCATCGGACCATAAGATGATCAAGGCCACAGTTCCCCAGCTTAACCATGAGGACATCATGGGGAGCTAGGTCAAAGGCTTTCTTGAAGTTCAGATATATGACGTCCACATCATCTCCCTTGTCCAGGGCACGTGTCACCTGGTCATAGAAGGAGATGAGGTTGGTCAGGTAAGACCTGCCAGTCACAAAGCCATGTTGGCTGGCATTCAGATGATTGTCTTCAATTAGTCCTGTGTTGATGAATCCCTTGGCAATTTTTTCCAGGATTTTTCCAGGGATGGACATCAGACTGATTGGTCTATAGTTCCTCGGGTTATCCCTCCTCTCTTTCTTGAAGATAGGGGCCACATTGTCTCTTTTCCAGTCTTCCAGGACCTCACCCAAGCTCCATGCATTTTGAAATATCTTTGCCAAGGGGGATACAATGATGTCAGCCAGCTCCTTCAAGACTCGGGTGCATTCTGTCTGGGCCCATGGACTTGTGAATGTCCAGTTTCTTAAGGTGTTTTCTGAATTGATCCGCATCAATTCTGGGTCCATCACCTGCTCCCAGGATGGTTTGTGTCCTTTCTGACAGTGTGATCCACTTGGGAGAGTGAAAAAAAAAAATGATGCGAAAAGTCATTTAGGATATTGGCCCTTTTCATAGATCCATAGATTCATAGATGTTAGGGTCGGAAGGGACCTCAATAGATCATCGAGTCCGACCCCCTGCATAGGCAGGAAAGCGTGCTGGGTTTAGATGACCCCAGCTAGATGCCTATCTAACCTCCTCTTGAAGACCCCCAGGGTAGGGGAGAGCACCACCTCCCCAGGGAGCCCGTTCCAGACCTTGGCCGCTCTAACTGTGCAGAAGTTCTTCCTAATGTCTAGTCTAAATCTGCTCTCTGCTAGCTTGTGGCCATTATTTCTTGTAACCTCCAGGGGCGCCTTGGTGAGTAAAGTCTCACCAATTCCCTTCTGTGCCCCCGTGATGAACTTATAGGCAGCCACAAGGTCGCCTCTCAACCTTCTCTTGCGGAGGCTGAAGAGGTCCAGTTTCTCTAGTCTCTCCTCATAGGGCTTGGTCTGCAAGCCCTTACCCATACGAGTGGCCCTTCTCTGGACCCTCTCCAGGTTATCCACATCCCTCTTGAAGTGCGGCGCCCAAAATTGCACGCATCAGATGGGCATCAGATGTCAGTTTCTTGGGCATCAGATGTGAGTTGCTCTGTTAAATCTTTCAAGGGCCCAGTGTTATCTTTTTTCTTTTTTTGACTTCCCACAGATCTGAAGCAGGACTTTTTGTTGTCCTTGATTCCCATAGCTAGCCTGATCCTTCTAAATAGTGCAAGTATAACTCCCAGCTGGAGGGAAGCTGCACCAGGACTAGGCTGGGTAATGGAGAGGAAGGGAGGGAAAAAATGGCATCAACATGGAGGAAGCTTCCAGCTCCCTGGTCCCAGTGCAGCTTCCTTCTGAGTGGACGCTGCTCTCACACTACAGTTGCCTGCATGCACCTCCCAGCCCATATTTTTTGTATCCAGTAGTTTTATGAAGTGAAATATGTACTGGATACAAAAACTCATGGACTAAATATAGACATTGGATTTATGGCACATTATAACCTGCCTGCCATCCAATAAACCCAGGTAACCTCTTTATATTTTACCAGCTACAGCCTATCACCAAGTCAGCATACCCCTGCTTCTCCCCCACCACCTACCCATCTCCCAACTATTATCTCCCATTGCCTCTGATTCTTACTGCCACACATTTGCATTTTCACAGACCTACATTTTGCATATTGGCTTCTATTCCACCATGGAGAACACACAACACCAGTAGTCTCTCTTTATGCCTAAAGAAGGATGCTTCTGCCCAAAAGCTTGCAAAGAACAATTTTCCAACTATTTAGTTAGTCTAACAAAAGATACCACATTTACCCAAAGAACCTTGTCTGCTTAATGCTTTAATATGTCACTCAGCTAGAGTGTAATGATGTTTGCTGTGCTCTGTTTGATCTAGAATCTGTATAAAACTGACGATCTGAAACCAGAGAAGATTTTTGAGGTTGTGACTAAAGTGCTGAAGATATGCAGCAGCAATGCTGTCAATGTTTACTTTGTGTAAGTCAAGCAAGCAGACGTGTATGGGTATATTTTTCAACAAGTACGTATTTAGGTCCAAATCCTATTTCACCTTGAAGTGTCTAGGAGATACTTATCTGTCTAGATGGCACATGGGGCCACATAAGTTCAGTTTGGACTGTGCTGCTTCCCTCACAACTACATTTGTCCTACTAAGCAGCCACCAGGAGCAGGGCCCAGGATCCAAGGTGCTGTCCCTGCCAGCCCACTTCCCAACATATTGAGTTTTATTCCTTCAGCTTTGATTGTCTCCTCTTGACTCCACACGCCTGGAAGAAGAAGCCTAACTGGGGTCTTCCACTTTCCAACCATGTTGCCTGACCAAAAGTCCATTGGGTCAAAAGGCAGAGAATTGCCATTCTCCTCTATCAAAAAGTTGCTGGTAGTGGTGTTTCTCCGATTAAAATTCTGGAGATTTGCACATTCAGTTTTTCTCAGCAGAAAATGATTGTGATAGAGCACAAGTGGCCATTGCAGCCTCTTCTGAGCATGCCCAGAAGGACAAATCTAATCATGCCAGTAGAAACAGGTCCTCATAATACAGCTGACTTTTCCTACTTAGGCTGACTTTTCCTAGCTACAGAAAATTTTGCATTTCTAAGTATTTTTTCTTTTTCTTTTTTTTTCTTATGTGTGTGTGTGGTTGTTAATTAGAATAAAATATAAGAAATGGGGAATTTTCCATGGGAAGGAAATTTTCAAGAATTCTAAATTTGGCAGACAGTTCATGAATTCTCTGAAGCAAAATATTGAATTTTAATTTTCTAGATGAAACATATTTTTTATGGACAGCTGAGCTGAGTTTACATGTACTCTGCAGTGCACATTTGACTCTCTTACATGCCAGGCCCTGAAAATCAAAACCTGTAAGGCCTTTCTGTTCAGAAAGTTGTGCTTCATTGTGCTCTATCCATATAATTAAAGTGATAGAACTGCCTGGCATGGGCACAGTTTTCCTACTATGATGATGTGTAGACAAAGCTGTTCCCCTGTGGGAAGCAAAGTTACATCAGTCCCAGCCCCTTTATTTCAATATAGATGAGGTTGCACAGTTTAATTAGACCAGTCAAAAATTCTCTCCTCCAAGAAGAACTGGCTCAAACTCGTTGTGTAAAGCAAGCCTGAGTGTCCTTTTCCATTTACGTGCTATGTTTCAGAAAAGGTGTGGACAAGTGCAGAAGCTGCCAGAAGGAGATCACCGACCCAGCCGAGTTGCCCTGTGAACACATTTTCTGCACACAGTGCATCTTGAGTTGGACTGACAAGCAGTGCAGGATTTGTAAGAAGAACATCCCCGAGGACTACACACCCACAGCCTCTCAGGTCACCAGGTATCTGATGGACACCAAACAACAGCATTTTGGAGTCTCATGGGGCAGGAACATTCTTGATCATCTCAGTCACTATTGGTTGTCTGGAGCCCTGTATGCTCATCAGGGGCGTATGCTCATCAGGGGCAGATCCAAGATTTGGCAAAGGGGAGTATAGGAGCAGGCACCTGCACTGCAGAGGTGACTGCACCCCTGTCCCTAGCCTCCTCCCCGCAACCCATTTTTGTGCTCAGACTGTGCTGCAGGAGCCTCTGGGCACTTTTTAAAATTCCCAAAGAAAGTAAGCATCCCTGCTTTCCCTATGGGTTCAGAGGCACATCCGTCCCCTCCTCTTCTGTTCCCTCCTCATCCAGTTGCTGCTCCTTTTCCCGCTGTCCCAGGTTGGGGGAAGCTTTGCTCATGACTGCTCCAGCTGGGCTGCACAGGGGCTGGGATAGCTGGGAACAGTGGTAGCAGCAATGGTGAGGTTACATTCCAGTGAACTGCCCAGGAGCAGGGATGGGAAGCAGATGCCACTGTTGCTGCCTTAGATGAGCCCATCTCCTCCACAATCAATCTGGAGTGGGCAGGAGCAGCTATGAAGATTCTTCTGCTGCTGGGACAGCAGGGAAAGCAGCCACAGCAGGTACGGGTTGGAGGAAGGGGACATGCCTCTGAGTATGGAGGAGAAGGGACAATTTGCTTCCACATTAGGGATTAGTTTAAAATCCCTAGAGGCTCCAGAAGAACAAGCCAGTCTGAAAGGTCCCTGCCCTGCATTCATGTGTTAAGCCCTTCTTCCTCCTATGCTGGTAAAGGCTTTACAACGGCTGCCTGTGCAGGAAAACAGCCCTGAATGAAGCACTCAGTCTCCCTCTGCAGTTATGGGAGGATTTGGGTCTAACATGGGTTACACAGAAGTGACTGGATGAAATGAATAAAAAGAAGTGAGGAAGTTTTTGCCTGGAAGGAGTTGCTTAGCTCCTGAAGGGTTTGGACTCCAGCTGAAGGCATTCAGCAGATAAGAGTGCATCTGGCTGCTTTGCTCCTCTATAGGGTATAAATCTATCCTGACTTTTACTGTGAAGCTGGGGGCCAGCTAGAAGTGATTACTTTATAATGTAGGTGGAGGCACAAAGAGGCTTAAGAATGCCAGAAGCCCAGAGTTGACATTCCCTTCTGGATGAAGAGGAAGGGTTTTTGGCTTTGATTGCTTGGTTAGCTTTTTTGTGTGTGTGGTTTTTGAACCCCCAGTAACACCTAGGCCGGGGCTTGGTGGCTAGAGGTTTCCCACTTCCTAGTTGAGTGCTATAACTCTTAGGCTTTTAGACTAAACTGTGCAAAGACCCTTTGTGCTGTTCTTCACATGCCTGTTCTCAGGTATCCATTTGACAGGCTATTCATATGTACCAAAAGTGACACTTAGTGGATGGATGAGAGAGCCATTAGACTGTGTAAACTGATTTAGGACCTAGCTTTAGTGCCTTCCATGTTAGGCAGAGTTTTTTGTGCACTAAAAGTTCCTTAAGTTATGGACCTAGGGGCCCAAAGTGGCAATTTAGGTTCTGAAGTCACCCTCTTGAAAATAGCCCTAAGTGATGGAAGAATCCATTCCAGTCATGGGGCTGAAAGCTTTGCCATTGTCAACTCTTTGCAGAATGGTGTTTTTGCTCCCAATCTAGGGACTGCAAAAGAGGTGTAACAATGTGGCTTGGCACCCAGGTTGCCACCATCCCTTGTGAGCCACGGTGGTGACAGCCACTTTTTTTTTCCCAACCTCTCCTTCAAGTTGGTGCCTGAGGTGGCTGCTCCACCTCCTCCCCAAATTACACCACTGAACAATAGTGGGGGTGACAAGAAGTTAGTCATAGCACTCATGATCACCTGGTGAATCCATGAACTCAGCAAGTGTGTTCATGCAGTGGGATTCTACACAGCAGGAGGAATAACCAAAACCAGAAACAATGTGGATGACACCTGGCTGGATGATGGCACTATGGAGAAGGACCTAGGAGTCTTGGTAGATCACAGACTCAACATGAGTCTGTACTATGATGCAGCTAGAGAAAAGGGGAATGTGTTTTTGGGATGCAGCAATGGAAGCTTTAAGTGAAAGATGCAGGAGGTGATAGTGCCTCTCTACATAGCATTGGATAGGCCTTGTGGCAGGCCAGTAGGGGACGCTCTGGTGCTGAGCAACCCACCTCATTGCGCTTGACCAAAGCCAAACTTTGGATGCCTCCCCAGGGGCACCAACTTCTGGCCAACCCCCTTTCTGGAGAACATCCAGAAGCCTGGGGTAACCGCTGCCACCACCCGAGGTCTGGTCTTTGTTCAGGCCCTGTGCCTCACAAGGTACACAGGCCTTGTAGACCTTGAGGATGCTTAATACACCATGTAATTTTGGGGTCCTTCCTTCAGTCGGAAGCATAAAAGGTAGCCTCTCTTAGTCAGCTGTGCAAAGGGAGCAAAAAGTCT